TAAAGAGTGTGCTTCTTAGTTCAGTCGCATACATTAGACCAAATGGGCAGCTGCTGTTCAGAGGCAGGACAAGAACGCAGAAAGGGACAGGAACTGGTTGAACGGACACAAGAAACCCGGGGTGGAAAGCGGGAGTGTGCTGTCACATTATAGGGATTGCAACTAATGTCACATAACAATATATGCATAAATTTTTATATGAGAAAGTAACTTGAGCTATAAACTTCCACCTAAAGCACGATTAAAAAAAAAGAAATCACCTATATGAGACCAAATGGAGCCCTGGTAGCATAGTGATTAAGAGCTCGGTTGCTAACAAAAAGGCTGTCAGTTCAGATCCACCAGCCACTCCTTGGAAACCCTATGAGGTAGTTCTACTCCGTCCTATAGGGCTGCTATGAGTCAAAATCAACTCGATGGCTTGTGTTTTTTTATGAGACCAAAGATGAGAATGTAAGGGGTCAAGGAAACTAGATGAATAGAAATGGAACAACCAGAACAGAAATAATGAGAAGGTTCACATATTGTGAAGAATTTAACCAAGGTCACTAAACAACTTGTGTAGAAATTGTTGAATGGGAACCTATAACTACTGTGTAAACCTTCACCGAAAACACAATAAAATATTATTTAAATACATAAATCACTGCATTTATCTTCGGTTTAAAAAAAAAAAAAAGAATAGATGGTAACTTGCTCATTCTGATAAACGGCATTTGTTAAAGACCCACAGCTAATGTCATACTTAATGGCAGAAGATTGAATGCTTCCCACCTGTAACTGGGAGCAAGCCTCTTCTATTCTCACCTCTTCTACTTAACAGTGCAATGTAGCAAGAAAAATAAATAAAACACATTCTCTAAAATGAATGAAGAAAGATGTTACTTCAAGAAATATTGACAATTATTTGTTACTAATGATAAAATTCAAGCTGCCAGCTGAAAATTAGAATTTTGCAAAATTTGTTATCTGCCACCATGACCTTGACAACTTCCCAATATTAAAAACTTTTATGAGAGTGGCATTATATTAATTAATTTTGTACAATGAAATGTGTCAATATTTAAAATATCTGCATAACTCAGTGAATCAGTATTTTCTAAATGATAAATAAATGTTGTCACAAAATCATGCATGAGTGACTGATCCATTCAAAGTACAGTGGATTTTAATGCTAGAAGAAAAAAAGTTCTTTGATACGGCTTCTGATTCTACAATGTATCTAATCTTTTAAGTTTTGGTGTAGTATCAAAAGAATATTCATAATTTATAATTAGCCAAGGTTCACAAGGCTGTGAGTTAAAACCTTGTTTCTAAGACTATAAACTGGTACATTTTTGGAGGAAAATTACCCTAACTTTTTCAAAAGTATGCAAAAATATGCATAATATGATGTTCAACCTATATTGTTTCTAACAGTAAAAACCTGGGAACTACCTAAGCATCCATCAACGCTGGACTAATTAAACAAATTATATCACACCCATTCTGTAGAATACAATATAGTCTTTAACTACCTCTGGAGAACACTGTGAAAGACAAATTTTTACTATTTACGTCTTATAATTCTGAACTGATTTTGTTCATCTATGTATAATAAACATGCATTCCTTTTAAAATAAAATATATTGAATAAGTTATTAAATGTACAAATGAACAGAAAAGATACTAAAAAGAAAAAACAGAATGCTAACAAAGATTACTAGAGGGTGACTTCTACTTTTTTTTTTTTTTTAACTTTTCCAGATTTTTATGAAGAACATACACTATGTTTACAATCAGGGGAAAAAGCACATTGTAAAATTCTTCTGGGACCACAAAGAAAAATTTAATTTGGAAAAAGATTGACTGACTGATTGACTCCATGTAACAATCGTAATTGAGCAACTACTTTTCAAACTAATATTCAGAGTTGCATAGCCTTATCTCTACTCTTATTAACTTACTCTGAAGCTCTTAGGAACAAAGCAAATTACACTATCCTGACTCGGTCAGCTCCTATTATATAAGTTTGGCTTCCTTTACCCTTCCACCACACCTTCCTAACAGAAGGAACAGATTAATTCTAAGATCCAGATTTACTCTGCCTAAACTTTGCTTGAGCTCTTCTAATGTTAATTTCTAAATTCTCTACCCTAGCTCTGAAATCCAGCTTGTCAAATTTTTATTTCTACCCAACTTTCAAGTCTCCACTTTTCAAACTATCCCCAATAAGCATGACTCAAAATTCATAATATTCACACTGAAATTCTCACAGGTAAGGAATAGGTATGCGTAAGTAATCCGCAGACATTCATATAAGCAGACTCAGTGTCAGGAGGAGAATTACTATATACCTAACATGATGACACATTCAGTCAAAACTATATACATAATATGGCTTTGGGTTCTTAAAATAACACAGTGAGAAAGATCAGCAAAGGGAACAAAAGGGAAATGCTCCAATTTTCTCCAAAATTTATTTTCTTTAAATGATTTCATTATGTCTCAAAATTAGGTATCTTGATCTCATCCAACATGGCTGGAATTCCATAAATAGCACTACATTCCATTGAGTAAATTAAACAGATGTTTAGTCTCCAATTTTAATGAAAATATCTAAGCCTTATCACTCAACATAGTTTTACACTAAAATATGACTCATTAGCACAGATTTTTTGATGAAGTTAAAAAAGGTGGTCTAACTCTAAGTGACTCTTTGAGATCCATACTGTTTTATGAATTGATACATGCAGTAACTTCTTAGATGATTATTAAGTATTGCAAGACAAATTTCATGTCACTGAAGTATAGCATCAAGAGTTATTAAAAGGAAAAAAATCAAGAATGTAAAGCAAACACTATAAAGACCAAATTAGAATTTAATTTCCCTAGACAAGTCTGGGCAATTTTCTAACAATGAACAAATAAATTAAATTGTTAAGAGTTAGGAAAAGTTGCAACTGACAAACTCTGTGGGTATGTTGGGGAAGGAGGGCATGCTAAAGAAAACAAAGCAAAACAAAACCACCATGGCAACATAAATATGGTAGGCAAAGCCACAAGAAAGATATTTTTTTGGAAGTGGGAGAGATGAAATAAAAGAGGGCAAGGGAGGAGAGGCTCAGAAAGAAGGCTCAGAAGGAAGGGTAATGAGGGTGTTAAATTACAAGCTGTGACTACTGATCAAAGTATTCAGCTATTTTGTGGTGCAATTCAACTCATGGGCAAAGGCAAGCTTTTGCATGTATTTGTTCTTATACCCAGAGGAATTTACAGCTACTGCATAAACTTACTCCCCCCTCCCCCATCGACTCTCAATTCCACTGTTCTAAAATTATTCTTGTTTGAGACTACTGTAAAAAGGCTTTCACCATGAATTTATGAAAATTAGTTCTGATAATTTCTAAAATCCCTAATTTTCAGAAATGCTCATTAGCATCCTAACTTTCAAGACAAGTCTATTTTTTTCTCAAGAATGAGTAAGAATATAAAATTTACATACTAGTTGAAAATACAATCTCACCCTTACTCTTCCGAAATTAATTTCACTAAATACTTCATTTTCTATTTCAGCATTCCATTTAAGTGAGTCTAAATCACAAAACAACACATAGGCAGGAAGTCTAACAGTCTTAAAGACTGTTTAGTACTTTGTGCCAGAATCTTCCTTTGAAGATCTTGAAGTACTTCTGTTGCTTACAGATGGGTATTAGTTAAGTGTATCATTAAAAGAAATAATATGATTTTTCCCCCCATTGTCAGGTCCAGAACTGTTTATGCACAGTAATGAATTACCAGTGATAATCCTGCTAGATCGCTGAGACTGTCTGTATAAGACATAAATATGAACCATTTAACAAGTTTACAGTAATAAATGCATTAATACAAAACACAAACATATTGACCACTCATTTGGAAAGTATGTTCTTAGGGAAAAAAAATGCAAAAGCAACAAGCTATTAAAAAAAAAACAGTCCTACCAACTAGAATGCAAACATGTGCTTATAAAAAGATACATGAAAAGATGATATTATCAAATCTACGAAAACAAAATACCGCTACCTGGTAAGAAACTGCACAAACAAAATCATTACAGACGGTAGAAAAGGCATTAACAAAAAAGGCAGAGCTGTAAAAAGCTTTAACATAAAGGAAATACAACACACAACAGAAAATTTTTCCATTAGTTTTTTCAATTAGCACAAATAGCCACTCTTCGCTTAGATTTAATGTGAACATACTTTAGTTTTCTAGCACTGCTGTAACAAATTATCACAAACATTGTGGCTTAAAACAATAGAAATTTATTTTCTAACAGAAGTCTGACATCACTTTCACTGGGTCGAATCAAGGTGTTGGCAGGGCGGCACTCCCTCTGGAGACTCTAGACAAGAATACGTTCCTTACCTCCTTCAGTTTCTTGTGACTACATCATTCCTTGGCTTATGGCCACATCACTCCAATCTCTGCCTCCATGGTTACATTGCCTTCTCCTAATGTGTGTGTATAAAATCTCTCTCTGCCTCTCTCTTATAAAGATACTTGTGATTGCATTTTAGGACCTACCTGGATAATCCAGAATAGTCTCTTATATCAAAATCCTTTAATCATATTTGCAAAGTCTTTATCATAAGGTAATACCTACAGGTTCCAGGGATTATGCTACAGATATCTTTTGGGGGGCCATTACCAGCCTAGAACAATACCAAAAGTCATCTGAATAGCTATAATCTTGCTAAAATGCTAAAAATATGGAAATTATATGCATTTTATCATCTCAAAATTTTTTTTCAAAGTATCTCTACTCACATTAGCACTAATATAAGAAGTTCCAAAAATGTTATATTTAAAGCAAAAAGAGAACAACATTAAGACTCTAGAAAGAAAATGTCTAGTAAGCAAAGCCTTAAAAAATGATTCTTTTCAACAAATTTAAAATACTATTCCTTGAAGCTAAAGAGGAAGTATCATGACAATCCATTTTATTCCAAACTTAAAAATTAAATATAAGCTCTTACCTCCAGATCCTAACTGCTTGTAGAATCTGTATTCTAAATGTAGCTGTGGTGCTCTGGATTTCATGGGTTCCTAATTTGAAAAAAAAAAAAAAAAAAGGATAATATTTAAATTATTAAAAGATCACCAAGACCTAATTTCAAATGTTAAAAATCTTAGTGTCAAATTTGTAGACTATAATATTCCGTTAGGCATCTTTGTCTCTCTAAGATTACCTACCTACCCGTTGCTGTCAAGTTAATTCCAACTCACAGCAACCCTATAGGACAGAGTAGAACTGTCCCATAGGGTTTCCAAGGAGTGGCTAGTGGATTCAAACTGCCGACCTTTTGGTTAGCAGCTGTAGCACTTAACCACTGCGCCACCAGGGCTCCGCTCTAAGGTTAGAGCTATATAAAAATCATTATTACATTTAAGGTAAAATAAACTGATACCATAAATACACACACACAGTTAAGTGGCTACTAGATCAAGCATTAGGAAATTATGTTTGACTCGTATGCTCCAAATATTCATGACTGTGGTATGGCAGCCCTTATCCCATTTCTCCCACTTCCAAAAATTCTCTTCTAAACTGTGTATTTCTTATGTAAAGGTTAAAATCAAGTCACAGAAAAGTGAGAAAGAACAACGATGGAGATATGAAAACTTGGTAGAAACAGTATCTCTTTAATTTTTTAAATGAGGTACATAAGTTACATATAATAAAAACCACAGTTCTTAAGTGTTAGGTTCACCAGTTCTGTTAACTGCATATAGCCCCCTAAAACCACCGTCGACTGCTAACCAAAAGGTCTGAGGTTCAAACCATCAGTGACTCTGTGGGAGAAAGATGTGGCAGCCTGCTTCCATAAAGATTTACAGCCTTGGAAATCCTATGTGGTTACTATGAGTTGGAATCCACTCGACGGCAGTGGGTTGGTTGGTTGTTTTTTTCCACACCCCAAACAACCTACAGAACATTTCCCTCCCTCAGAGGTAATCACTTTCTGACTTCTCTCGCATTTGGATTTGTCTGGCTTGTTCCTGAATTTCATATAAATGATAGTATACGGTAACTGTTTTATATGTCTCTATCTGGCGTTTTTCACTCAACATAATGTTTTTGAGATTCATCCATGTTGTTGCCATATTTTATTGCTTTTTAGTTCCGAGTATTATTCTACTAAATGAATATACACAATTTATCTGTTTTCCTACTGGCAACATTTGGATTTCCAGGTTCTACCATTGCCGTTGACTCAATTCCGACTCACAGTGACCCTACAGGACAGAGCAGAACTGCCTCACAGAATTTCCAAGGAGCACCTGGTGGATTCAAACTGCAGACCTTTTGGTTAGCAACTGTAGTTCTTAACCGTTATGCCACCAGGGTTTCCTTCCAGGTTGTAGCTATTATAAATAAAGCTGCTATGAACACTCTTGTGCAAGTCTTATTGTGAGTATATATTTTCACTGCTATTGAGTGGAACTGCTGGGTAGTTACAGGTTTTAAGAAACTGTCAGTTTTCCAAAGTGGTTGTGCCATTTTACACTCACACCAACAATATATGAGTTTCAGTAGCTCCATATCTTCATGAATATTCACTACTGTCTTTTATTTTTAGCTACTGTAGTGGGTATGATATTAATTTACTTTTTTACTGATGACAAATGATGTTATAAGTACCTTTTCATGAGCTTACTAGCCATTCATACATACTCTTTTGTGACGTATCTGTTTAAAGCTTTTGCCCATTTTTTAATTGAGTTGTTCATCTTTTTTATTACTAATTTCTGGGAATTTGTTATATATATTCTGTATATAAGTTGTGTCAGATACATATATCATGAATATTTTTCCTATCTGTGGCTCAACTATTAATTTTCTTAATGTCATCTTTTGCCTGGCAGAAATTTTTAAGTTTGATGAGGTCCAATTTATCATTTTTTTCTTTTATAATAGCACTTTTAATATCCTGTCCATGAAATCTTTGCCTACCACAACAATACCATTTTAATTCCAAAACAGATTTTTTAAAATACACCACAGGATTTATGTAAGTGCAAAAAATAATGAACAAATATACATTTTCATGCATATTTATGAGTACTGGTTAAAAAAAAAACTGTTTTTCAAGAACTGATCATTCAAAGTTTATTAAAACTAATACATTCTTCTATTATTCCAGTTAGTGCAATAGAAGGAAACAGTCAACCCAATTTTATAAAGTTCTAGAGTTGCCAGATTTCTTTTTCTCTCAATGCATAATTATATATCCACAGCCTGCCAGCTTTCTTCCTCAAGACAATAATTATGGACCAAAGGCAGAGAACAGGAAGGAAAAAGAAGTTTTGCTATACAGGTGGCTATTTTTCATTCTGCTTCTGTTGCTTGTGATTCTCCTCAAACCGTTCACTTAAGAAAAACAGAGGTCATGTGATCTTGGATAGTTCACAATTCTATTAGTTTATATTTGTTTTAATTGAAAAAGAGCTTCTGTGCTGAAAAAGCCAACAATGCAGGTTTTTCAAATTCCTCCTTAGCTAACAAAAATAAGATTCTTAACCAATCTAAAACAAACCAAGTTAATCTGTTTCTAAATGTTGCATGCTCACATTGAGCTAATGTAAAGTTCTTCTGTGGCCATGGTAGGTTTAAATTAGCTAACTTAAGTTTCACAATAGAGAAAATTTGACAGACATTTACATCTGGACAGTCCTGCAATATAAACCAATGAACGAGGAACAATAGTGTTAAAAACAAACAAACAAAAAAACTACTCTGCATATACTTACACTCATGGGGATTTCTCGGCAAGTCCTTCTGGGAACCTTCCATTACAGTCTATCACAGTTAACTATCTCAGACACTGTAAAGCCTTCAGAAATTAGAGTTTCATGTTTCCAAATACAGGCATCCCATGTCTTTAAGCAGGATTTTACACTGAACAAGATAATGAACCAAAATTCCCCCATATTAAATTCTATTACTGGCAACACCAACTTATCTCTCTTGAGTCTCAATCTCTTACTTACAACCACCTTTTGGATATGTCCATCTAGATAATCTGCATGACTTCAAAGTTATCTAAAATCAAATATATAAGGCTTTTTAAGATAATGGCATAACCATCTACCCTATTAACAAAATTTACAATCACCTCAACCTTCTTCTCAAAATCAATCAATTACCAACTATTGATTAAACTGCAAATAGCTATAGCCAGAATCTTAGAACAGTAGTTGGGTACTTCATTGATATCCTGCTCATTAAAGTAACTAATTTAAATTTATACAGGTTAACCTTTATTTTGTATACTCAAAATATTTCAGGAAACAAATTATAACATTTTAAATATGTAGAAAAAATTTTGTAAGAATTAACTGAACAAATGCACTTCTCATCAGTAAAATAAAATGATTTGAAGCTTATAAAATAGAGCAAATATTTTGAATAAAGACCTGAATGACAGAGGTTTCTTATTTACAAAGACAATGTGAATAAATTATTCTTCTGTTATCAATGCAATGGTATTTCAATCAATGTCCAGATTATTAACATGACATTTATATTTATTAACTTATAATAAAAAAATAATAACTTCCATATGAAGTAATTTTAAGTTGGGAATTTTTTCTGCTGTGCCATTATGCATATTTTGAAAGAAGAGCATTACATACACAGGGATTACAGCATAAATTATTTAAGGGTAGCAAGGAAAACGCTTTTAAAATGTTTTTATCTTTTATATAAACAGTTCTGATGTCAGGATAGCTGTGTGAGATTTTTTTAGAGACCACTTAACTAACTCTAGAGAACTGTTCAATCAAAAAGACCATGGAAAGTATTATCCATTGGAGTGACGGGGAAAGAAGTATGAAAGAAACAGTGTCAGACAATAGATAAAAAGATAATGTGAAAAAACAGTATGACCTATCTGTAGTTGCCTTTCCTGTTCCCATGATCTAGTATAACTGAACAATTTGATACAAAGTAGTAACGTAATGTATACAAAGAAATGTAAGTAAAACTAGTAAGAGAAACTGACGTGAGAACGCAATAAATCTTGAATTCCACGCTAAAGAATATAGACTATTCTGTAAGCTTTAAACTGCCCCTAAAAGATTTATTATTGTCATTGTTATTAATAACTACTGCTTAAGAAGAGCTTACTATGTGCCAGGTACCATGCTAAGTGTTTTATATTACATTATTACTCTTTTCTAAGAATCCTATGACACAGTGTTGTAGTTTTAAAAATAAGAAAACAGAGGCTCATGGGAATTAAACAACATCCTTAATGTATCATAAACAGTAAATGGTAGAACTAAGACTTGAAACCAGGTTTATCTGACTGTAACACCATATTCTTAACCACTATGCTAAGGAGCCCTGGTGGTGCAACACTTAAGAGCTCTGCTGCTAACAGAAAGGATGGCAGTTTGAACCCATCTAGTGGCTCTGCAGGAAAAAGACCTGGCAATCAGCTTCCATAAAGATCACAGGCTAGAAAATCCTATGGAGCAGTTCTGCTCTATCACATGGGGTCACTATGAGTCAATCAACTCAAAGGCACCCAACGACCACTATGCTATCCAACCTCTCTGACACAATCACATCTATAATAAGAAGGAAATCTGGTTACCAACTAACAAACAAAACGAAAGAAAGCAGAGAGAGAGCAAAAATTTTCAAATTATTTTTCATTTGGGGAAAGAAGGTTGTTTTGATAGCACAACAACTTTTTTTCTCTACTCCAAATGAAATCTTACACAGAATCATTTAAAAATACATATGTAAAAGACAAGGTAAAATGACATTGATCTACTTGAAGAGGTAAGGGATGGGCCAATGCCCCCTAAACTACCTCTATCCCTGCACAAGTCTAGAAGATACTGCTTTAATAACCCAATTTGAAAATCATGGGTGTAGACAATGTTTTATAGGTAGGGAGCGCTAGGATCAGAGATAAGAATATTGTACCCACCAACCATTTATCTTCTTTAATTCCTTCTAACGAACTCCTAATGTGGTCGTGGGATCCACCCTTCACCAACAGTCATAAGCTCCAGGTGAGGGGCCTAAGTTC